TGTTTTAAAATGCTCAAAACAAAATGTTTCAATGGACCCAAACTGAAAAAGCATTTCTTGGTGAAAAACTCTGAGATTTTGACTTCTTGTCCTGATTCAGGAGGGTAAAAGTTTTTGAACCCTCAAAAATGGTCACAGGACGGGAAAACGGTTGCCTGCCCAACACTCCTTCTCATGGCCGATACTGCGGCTGTAACTTGAACAATGGTAACTGTGTTAATGGTCTGAACGCTTTCAATTCAGTTCACAGGGAAAGTGGATGCAGTTTTGGTTTTCAACTGGAAACCAAGGCCATACAGCTAACTCCCAACTCCCCCCTCCACGCATCCCCTCTCTTCCTCCCTTCCCACCCCACAAAAAGGAACCAGCTGAGCTCAGTGAATTTCAACTAACAAACTCATGCCCTGTTATGAAATTGCACAGGCTGGGGACTTCAAGGGATTTATCATTCCCACCCCATGTTATTTTTTTTTCCCCATAAGCCAATTGAAAGGGATTTTTCTTGTTCCCAGAAACTCAGAGGAACAGGCTTGAGGGAGCCAGTCTTTCCTCATTCTAGCTCACCTGGAAATCCCTGCTCCTGCTCCTGCCCCAGCCACACCGAGCATGCTACATCTACTCAGAGGCCTGGACTCCGTCTCCTGGATGACAGCTGAATGAGGGAACCGAATCAGCTACCTAAAAGATGGTACCAATTCACACCAATGTCTAAGGCTCATATTGTATCTAACTCCATCAGGGCAGGTCAAGCTAACCTTGCCTGCCCCAGCAGCCCACACTGTTTCTTTAAGAGAATCTGAGTTTGTTTTTCACCTCTGCCCTAGGCTTTCAGAAAGGGTATTACTGGGCTGGCGAATGCTCGGCCTTCCTCCTACACATGCTAACCACACAGCCGCAGCTCAGAGCCCCAGTGATGGACAGCTCCGATTAGCATGGGCAGGATGGGGGACAGATAGTGCCAGAGTCGTTTCACAGAATAGACTTGCCAGCGACTTGCAGCCAATCTGATTCTGTTCCCTTTCTGTCTCATCTGCTTTCCTTCAGCTCCAGCGCTGCTAAATATTTCAGGCCAACAGAGGCCTTTAGAATCCCTTTGAAAACACCCCCCTCAGGGCATATTCTTCTGGGCCAGTTGGGGCCTGATCCAGAGAGGCGTTGAGCAGCCGCGATTCCCCTGGAGATCAATGGGAGTTGCAGTTGCTTGCTCTCTCTCAGGATCATTGACATTCACACGCGAAAGGGGTTTGGCTGATACCTTGATTCTACATGAGATTCCTTTGCTTCACATTGAAGCGTGAGCAAGAGTAATAGACTCAGAGAACCCAGAATGACGAGGAAGTGCCTTCCCCGACCTGCCAGGCGCTAATGCAAACCGGGAGGCCAATACCACTCATTCGTTCCCAGCCAAAGCACACCTGCAATTGCCTATTATCCCTACAGATGATCCGACCCCTTGGGTCCAAACCCAGAGGAAGTCGTTAAGTGAAAACAGAGCTGGTGGTTTACGCAGGTCACAAAAACAAACAAACCAACCAACCCCCTCCCGACAGTCAGCATTCCCCTAGCAGCCTAGCAGGAGGAGCTCAGGTCTGGAATGGTAGGAAAGCTGCAGGCTAGGACAGATTTTCCCTGGCATAGCTGCGGTAAAGCAGATGGCGCCGATGATGCATCGCCTCGCTGAGCTGTACCCGTCTCGCACTTTCAGGGCTGTTAAAAGCATCATCGAGCGCTCCCTGAAATTTTGGGGTGATAAAATTCTAAAACAAACCCAAAGACCAGCTGTGCTTTGTTTATAATAAAAGCTGCCTTTATACCCCCGTTGTTGGTTACACTCCAAACACAGACAAATCACCGAGTTCTCCTGGGCTGTTGCAGATCCACAAAACACCCAGTTGGATTTCTCTAAGAAAAGGCTTCTCCCTTATTTCAAACCCAGGAAGTGGAGTTCCCAAGGAGTTCGGAGTTGAATATACCAGCCTATCCGGCTTAGAAGCCAGCACCCGAGGACACCGTTCTGCAGCTCCTGTAGGCAAAGCCAGACTCAGACTGGCAAACAAGTCCAAGCTGTGACAATGCATTGTGTTCCTAGGGGACTCCAAGCCAAAGAAAACGCAGCAGCCCTGTGTATAGCCGGGTTATCTGGGCAATCTGTTCCCATGTTGCTAAAACCAGAGCAGCTCCCCCAATGCAAGCAACAATGGGTTACCTAGTGTCGACAAGACCTAGCGTTAGCTCGACTTGCTTGGAGCAGGATTAGACAAGGCGGAGTTTAAAATACCAGTGGCCAGCCCACGCTACTGCTCCCACCAAAGGAGCTGCACAGGTGTTAGTAATGGTGGGAAATTTTTTCCCAAGAACTCTATGCCAAGAGTTTTATTGTTTTGTTTTTTCTTAAACGAAGCTGATCCTTACAGACTAGGAGCTGGACCAATGACAATCTAAGGTCATCAGCAGAGCATAAAATGCTGGTTTTCATGTTTTATGACAGTAGGGGGGGGGGGGAAATCTATAAAGGCCATATGTTTTAATTTGTAAGCCCATAAATTGAAATGTGGCAAGGTTCCCGACAGAAGACTCAGCTACTGTCTTGCAGCAGGACAGTAAATGGGCAAGACCAGAATTATGCTGTTTTGCTGACCCAATAGAAACAGTCGATTTTTGCAAACCCACTGCCTGTTTAATGCTACTTTGCAAAGCCCATATTGCATAGCCACTAGTTGAACGGCAAATCCTGGCACTCTCGTGCAACACGGTTTCAGTTCTTGCAGAAAAGCAGCATGTGATGTAACTAGGGGGATTCTCAAGCATTTTTCTCAAGACCTTTTGGCATCAGTAAGGTTTTACCCTAAGGCCTCGTCTACAGTGGGGATTTTGCAGCTACGCTGAGATATCTGCTCTGATGGAAAGCTCTAGTGTCCATGTGCTGCACTAGCACGCAAAGATAAAATGGTGGCAAGTCACCTTTTACACCAGTGCAGGGCTCCTACATGAGGGGATTTGCAGTGGGACAGTGAAAGCATAGCATCACTGGTGCAAAATTCCCTAGGGTAGATAATCACAGTTCTAAAGGACTGGGCTTGGAGACCAGAGCTTGGTATCTTTACACAAGCCTGCAAAAATAGGCTCGGTCCTGCATTTTCACAAGTGACAGTCCCAGGGCCATGGGCATCTATTTTTTTTTCCTGGGAGTCTTCCAGGGCCCAGTCAGAACCCTAAGTAACCCTATTACTCTCCTAAACCCCAAAATCATGTGCCAGGCCCCCAGAATTATGATTTTAAGACAATCCTGAGATTTAAAAAAAATAATTTGGGGGTCTTTTTATTTCCCTTCTGGTGTTTACATTTTTAGGGGTTGTGTTTTCAAGGTTTCTTCACAAGCAGAAACTTACTTTCCTTTTAAATGCAAGTTTCTCATGTAAATCACCTGACTCCAGGAGCTGAGACTTCAAGAAAAACACCAAATATGGTGAGAACTAACCACGCTGTCTCCCTTCCCGCATCTCGGATAGCTAGGATTTCCCTCCGACCTCAGTAATGCCTCTCCTTAATCCGCTACAATGGCTATTATGCAATGGCATACACTCCCTCCCCTTTCAGGGATTGAACATGCGGCCTTCCACAAATGCCTCTGGCCCAGGGAGTGGTAGATCCTGAAAATAATCTAAATGGCCTGTAAAAAATGGAGAGATCTAAAGCCAGATTGGGGATGCCAACAAGTGAATATTGCTCTGGGGTCATATATCAGAATGAAAACCGCCTGGACTGGACATTTCATAGCTATAGTTCACTGTTACCAACGCGGCTAAAATGTGCATTAACTGGAGATCATTCCCGAGAGCTTTCCTAAGATTGCTAGTGCAAATGCTGTGGTCACCTCAGGATTTTACAGGGCTCCAAATAAAAGGAATATTAAGGCTGCTCCTAACAATAAATCTTTAATCCTGCTCTTCAGAAGAGCAAATGGACAGTGACAGAGCAGTGGCGCAGCAAAGGATCCTCTCTAATGCAGGTGGTTGTTAAGTAGGAACACACATGCTGTACGTAGTAACACTCAGCTGTGTGTCTAAGCAGTAGCCATGTCTGCTCTTTATTATACGCTGTGCCATGTTGCTTTAGAACAAGGATTCATCTTTTCCAATCAAGTCCCAATTCAAACTGGGTCCGAAGGCTCTCTCTCACTCTCCATTTTGTCTATTTCTTTTCCCATCTCCCTGCAGCTGCGTGATGCCCTGGGCATGACAGAAGCGGTGTATGGTTCAAACCCCAGGTTTAACAATCATTGTTAATTACCTGCCTGCCGGAAGCACTCTCAGCGGCTGCAGTGGTCATGGGTTTGCAAGAATGGATGTCACAGACACTTCCACAAAGCTATTTTACATAAGCTCCCCGCTATAAAACTCCCATGGTGAATTACAATGGTTTCATACAGAATGCAGCCTTTTTTACAGGACTTAAAGCACTGGCCTATACCCCTTACTCCAAGGCTGGTTCATATAGGGCAGGGGTTCTCAGACTTTTGTACTGGTGACCCCTTTCACACAGCAAGCCTCTGAGTGCGACCCTCCTTATACATTAAAAACCCTTTTAAATAAATGTAATACCATTATAAATGCAGGAGGCAAAGCGGGGTTTGGGGTGGAGGCTGACAGTTCGCGACACCCCCCCCCATGTAATAACCTCGCGAACCCCCTGAGGGGTCCCAACCCCCAGTTTGAGAACCCCTAATATATAGGGTGGATTTGGCAGCCTAGATTAAATAACTGCATGAAGCCAGGAGGGATCCTTTTATAACCACTCCTGAATAGATAATTTCTCCAGATATCTCTCCTATGCAGACGTACATATCGAACAGAGGAAGACCTCTACGAGCAGCCCGCGTGGGTGGACGGGGAGAAGATACGAAAGACACAGAACAAAAGCAGGCTTCACTCTGAAATACACCTGAGGAACCCAGATAAAAGTGACGCCAAGAACAAGACGGGTGACACCAACGTCCTTACCTTAGCCTGTACGGTCTGTGGGCAGGGGAAGCTGGCAACACACAGGAACGACAGAACTTCCATAAGGATTTAGTGCGCTGGAGGAGCCTGTCTAGCTTAATCCAGGGCATTTTGGAAAGGCTGGATTCACAAACAGCCTTACTACGAGCAGGCTGCCGGGAGCCTTTGAAGAGCAGTTACACCCTCAACAACACTCACCGCTTTAATTGGTACATTTAAAAAAAAAAATCTGATCACATGTTTTGAGCTGTTACTTTTTTTTTTTAAATGCATCCCCAACTGTGTGCGAAGCTAGCCCCAGGCAGCCAGCTACCGTAGAGAGAGCTGACAGCTTTGACAGATGACTCAGTGTTTGTTTAGAATCAGGTTTGCACAGCGTCTTCTTTCTGCCCCCATCCTAGCCCCCGAGAGGAAATGAATTTTGGCCACTGCCTTCTATCTAGGTGGGTTTTGGATCTCGCGGCAACCTCTGTTCATCTGGAATAGCTCCACTGATTTCAATGGCGTTTCTGGGGTCTGCAGCGATCAGAATCTGACCCGGGTGCTTTACATTTCTGCTTCATTGAAACAGGACAGTGTCTTGGTCAGTGGCCAGGGGAAAGGAAACTTGATGGGACTCTACCCAAGCTCCACCCACAATCCCAAGTATTGTGGGTGCAGCACCTTTTCTTTTCCCCTGGCCACTGACCAAGACACTATTCTGCAGTGTTGGTGTAGACATGTTGGTCCCAGGCTATTAGAGAGACAAGCTGGGTGAGGTGCGAGCTTCTATTCTCTTTCACCAACAGCAGTTGGTCCATTTTTCGAGCAGCTCCAGTCCTTAGATATTCATTAGCTGCTGGGCCACACAACTTGCCTTCAGTTTTTTGGGGAACTAATTTTGAACAAGCCACCAGAATCATGCCTACAGTATTTGCAAGCACATCCATTTGCGTTCCCCTCTGGCATAAGCAATAGGAGGCAAGATAATGTCCCCCTGAGTAGGCCTTTAACTAGCAAAGCATTTAAATGAATGCATAAATCAATGGACTACTGATATGCTTAAAATTAAGCATGCCTTTTGGTGGATTGGGGCCTTAGTGAAGGACACCACTGCAAAGCATGCAGACCACAGCCCGAAGTCCTGGAGCCTTCAAATCACACTTGTGCTGCAGCAAAGTAGTGTCTTATAATTAAAAAAAACAAAACAAAGCTACACCGAAACTCAGTTTCTGCTCCATCTGTGTTTACAGCATGGAACACCACCTTCTTAGGCCATGAGATGACTGCTCATTGGCTTGCTAGGCCAATTCCCCCTTATCTCATCCAGCTCTGACAGACCCATTTGGCAAATGGGATAGAGAACTTGCCTTCTATATGATGCTAATTCCACATGGATCTTCAGAGTGTCATCAGCTGCTTTGGCAACAACGGATTATATTCCTGCTTTCGTGCTACACAACTTGTGCTCAGTAAACAAATAACATCTGATAGCCTCCTGTATTTTATAGTCAGATACAATCCCCAAAACAATTCCCTGCTCATCTCTAAAATGTGCCTCTGTGCCAGAGACTTACTGGAAAATAAATGACTGTTTCCTGATGCTGAATCAACTGCGATATGACAGGTTATACACACCACAGACATCCTATCCAGCTCTAGGAGTAGGTTTGATGTGGGCAATACATTTTCATGACAGATGGTGACAAGCACACAGTCAACGTTGGCAGGAATGGCTGCCAGCTCGGTTGCTCTTACAGGAACCAACAAATTTCCATCCCTACCAGCCCACAGTTGCTCACTCCATCAGCTTTACTGGCCCCTTATTCTGCCTGTTTGGTACAGCCAACTCTGAAGCCTGCACTATAGGGCACTTTCAACAGGCCACTTCTGTCTTTAGAGACCACAATCCCCCAGGCTGCCAGGCCAATTCTGTTAGAACTTAAAGGCCAACTCTCAGTAGTCCCTGGTTACTGAAGGCCTTATTTTCACTGCTAACAACGGTGATATTTTATCTCAGGGCAACTAAAGCAGGTGAGCTATCCTGAGGTAAAAACACACCGAGGACAAGGCACTTCAGTGTTATCATGAGGTAAATTAGACAAAGTCAACACTCTGCTCCTGTCTGGAGTTGGTCTCACCTCGTGTACCTCATGGTAAAACTGAAGCACCTAATCCCTAGTGTGTTTTTGCCTTAGGATAATAGGACACAAGGACCTCTTGATGTCGACTGCCAGAAGGCACAGGAGTACATACGGGTACCAGGATCCCTGGGGGTTCACCAGAAGAATGGCACATAAGGTCACACCTGTCATCATAATCATTGTGAGATATATGTATGGAAAATACGTGAGGCGTGATGCATATATGCTGGAAATTATGTTCTCTAGGCCTTGTAATTAAAGGCAGGTCACTCAAAGGTAGCGTGGCTGGAGATAAAACTTCCACAGACAGCAGGCAGGAGACCCTTATCCCCCTGGTAGACCACTGCATATTGGGTGTCTCACAATAGAAGTCTATCAGCATACTAAGTCAAATGCTAATGAAGAGTTTACAGAGACTTCAGATGGAAATTAACAGGAAAAGGTGAGCAGAGGGCAGAAGAAACCTTATTTGCAAGTGAAGATCAAAGGTCTGGTCTATCTATTCGGGGGTGCAGAGAAACACCCTAGCATCCTTCAGCCTGTGAAGACCAGCTGCCAGCGGGCTAGATGTTATGAAAGGGGGACCTCGGCCACCCTGTCGGAAAACACTGGGAAAGGGACTTGGGGTAAGCTATGCTGTAGGAGACAAGGGAATGGCTAGTGTGTTATGTTTAGGCTCTAGAAAGCATGTTATGATTTTCTTTTATAGGGAATGCTCCAGAGGGATGTCTGTGGGGTTGGTGTGTGCCTGTCACTAACCTGTACCGAGAGGAGGATGCCTGGTAGGCAGTGGTTGAGTTCCCAGAGGATGGTGAGGCAGGGAGCTGATCGCCAGCAGACACAGACAAGATTCACGCTAAGGGCAGGCGGGAGCAAGATGCCTCACAACCCTGGGAAGCATGCCATAGGTTGCCTACCCCTGGTGTAGACATTGCGTTGCTTACATCGACTGTTATTGGCTTTCAGGCGCTATCCCACAATGCCCCCACACTGACAGTACAACTGATACAAGCGCTCCTGGTGAGGACGCACACTGCCGACACAAGGAGCAAAATGTGGACACGCACAAGCGATGTAATTATTGTGGTGGCTGTACACTTAAGTTAGGGCAACTTCATTTTGTAGTTTAGACCTGGCCTAAATCAGAGAGATGGTGACTAGCATGTTAGCCCCACCCAGCTGCAATCCAATGGAATGGCATCCGCAGATGCAGTGGTGTTACCGTAGGCAGGCTGCCCAGTGCCTAGGCTCGAAGCCATGCTGCCCAGTGCCTAAGCTCGAAGCCATCAGAAAAAGGAACCCAGTGCGGTGGCCTGGTAAAGCTGGACAGCTGGCATGGCTGAAGCAGAAAACCTGGTAACCAGAAACCTGCTGCAGCCACTCAATGGGGGCAAAGCTGGAGGACTGTAACGTTGTCCCATGAGGCAGCTATTTAACAATACTAAAAGCTGCTTCATTGCACAAAGGAATTAGGAACTGCATTTCCTCTGTTCCCCACATTTCACAACAGCACACTGTGAACAGCTGCCAACCAAACGCTCCAGCAAAACTGGCTGCCTCTAGTTAGCTCTTATTTGATTATAGGCCCCAAGAGTGGTTTTCTACCAGGAAACGGCTTATTTTTTAAAATTAACTGCTGACTACTTGGAGCCTGCAAGATGGATGGGCGTGGAGCGAAGTGGGGCTCTGGGCACTCTCATTACTGAGAGTGGTTCCCATTCTCTCTGATGAGCTTATACCTGGATTTAGGTGTTTAATGGCGACCAGATGTTGTGTGAATGCTAATCGGGCCTTTCACTCCAATCTCTTTTCATTTCCCTTGTGTGTATGCGGGTTGAATTGTTCCTACCACATCTGTAGGGCAGCTCTCACAAACTATGGCCAATGATACAGACTGCAGCGGCGTGTGCACACACACACACACACACACGCTTTGTTGGGGCGGACAGCCACAGACCATATGGTTCTCTTGAGCTCCCCAGAGTGACTATACAGCCTGGGCAATCTAAGGTTACTGCCCAGGTCTCCCGAAGTCTTGGCCTGAACTCCCCAGTCATGGAAGGGACTGGTGACTACACTATAAGGTCAAGGGAAGCTTTGGGTGCAGCTGATTTTAAACTTATCAGTTCCCAGCTTCCTTCTAAACAACGTTTCCCCCAGTTGATCAGAAAGAACATGAATATTGTGACATGGAGCAATACGAGGATTGGCACCATGCCACTGTATTGGAAAGCACTAAAATAAGAAACCAAGCTAAGGGGGAAATTCTCCTTTCAATGCACATCTCATCCTCGGAGGGAGGAAGGGCGTGCACAGAAGAATGAACTGGGACTCAAAAGAGCTGGGTTCTAAGCCCAATCCTGCCACCAACTTACTGTTTGACCCTGGACAAGACACTCAGCCCCTCTGTGTTTCATTCCCCCAGCCCCTCCCTTCCCCCGCACACACAGTAAAAATGGAGATAATGCTTCCCGGGGGGATGTGAGGATATAGCCAGTAATGTTGGCAAACTGCTTTGATATCCTAGTAGGACAATTTTCAGAGTAGCAGCCGTGTTAGTCTGTATCCGCAAAAAGAACCGGCA